AACGCTCACTTGAAGAGTTAAAAGCTGTTGTCAATAGAATTCTGCGGACTTCTTCAGCAATTTGTGGGTACAGACACGCACTCAAGAGCCCCTACACTCTTGAGCAGAGGTCAAACTCTTAGCTCAGGCTGAAAAAACTATCCACTGTTGAGTACTTCGCCCTTTCGTAATAGCGAAGAACAAAGGGAAGCATTTGTTCGGATCTGAGAGGATTATGAATTCAGTACGTGATAAATAAAATCAAGTATCATAGTGAATGGTAAACCCCAGGTCGTCCAGCTGAAGGGCCGCATCATTCGTTGAATTCAACAAAAGAGTCATAAATTCATAATGGCAACGATCGAAAATCTATGTTGCTTCTGAGTGACCTGTTACCTCGGAAAAATGAACACCGAACTCTGTTACCATACCTGAGAAAACGCTATACTTCTCTCGTAATCGGAATTGAACGACTACCGTAATCAGTAGGGTCGTCGATAGTAGGAACAGCAATGAACCGAAGATCAAATAGAAATAAAATACTATCATTGTTGGACAAATACAGTAATGTCAGAGTAGGATAGCTAAAATCGATCTGTGACCATTGAGATCGGTCGTCGGCTGCAATCCGGATCGGGGGAGCATAAATTATTTGCTCACTCTTGGGACAACGACGACTTTACGGTGGCCGATAAGCGTCAGACGACCGGTCACACGCCCAGAGACTCACTGATAACAGCAGATCAGCTACACAAATCGTGGATCGATGTTGTATCGATCGATCGTTGAAAACGGAACGTTTTGGAGCCACGTATGGGAATATTCACTTTTATGGCTATTGCTCAAAGAGGTGACGTCAGCGCGATGAGTAACGTACGAAAATGGACGGACGTTGTGAAGGGAGGACGTGTATTGGGGACTTCGGTCTCCGATCCATCGAGAGTTAAGGGATTTGTGGGACCACATGCGCTCACGTTGATGTTCATCCCATCTTACAGGCCTTGAACTGGTTACGCTACAAGTCGTTGTACGCAGTAAATTGCTCGGATAACTGGTTGTGGTTCAATTGGGTCTTTCATAGTGCTCGCCAAAATCGATTTACGGGAAATATCGTTAGGAAATAAGAAGGGCTTATTGCACCGTGATTACACTCGTTCGTAGGATTTTAAGGCACAATTCACGAGAAAAATGGCCTATGAGATATCCCGCTCAGTGGCACCCTCATGCACCATACATTTAGAGCTGTCAGGTAGGAAAACTTCCAACATAGGGCGCTATAAAGGCCCAACGATTGTCCCATGTGGGGGGACGTGCACTACGTGCACCCGAGGATGCACGCGGCAACTTGCGCGACGAAGTTCGTGACGATTTGTACGGCTCTGACGCCAATCTTCGGGGCGCAATTCTGAAGTAGAGTGGTTTAGTAGGGTCAGATGATCCCCTAATCTACTCCACTTCAAATTTGGGTCCCAATGATAGGCGCTAAAGTCGTTGAAATCGTTACACACTTCCCCGGGCAATTTTCCGTGCGCGTCGTAGTCCAGTGTCCGGAATCTTCTTCCCAAAGGCGGCGTCGCACACGCCGCACCCGCCGCGTGCCGCAAGACTGCGATGGAAGATTGGAGCGCGCAATTTGTGAGGTAAGGAGTCCTTTCATTAGTTGAATTGGCTGGCCGCTCCCTTCAATTCCATGCGATCTTGATTGGCGCCGATATAGGAGGGGAATTTTAATTAATCAAGACTAATAAACATAGAAACAAGAAAATGAAAGCGGAAAAACGATCAAGACCAATAAAAAAAGGCAATCGACGAAAAATATTGCGTCATGTCGATTGGGGGGGAGGCGGGGTGAGTACGGTAGTTGCAGTGACATTTGCCGCATGCCGCAAGGGAGAATGCCGCAATCGGGGAGAAGTTCCGTTACTCCGTAAACCCACATACCCTACCATGTGTATGCGCGGACGAGTTTCAACGGNACAAAACAAACAAAAGGCTGCCGAGTAAATGAGAACTCATNGGAATCTTCTTCCCAAAGGCGGCGTCGCACACGCCGCACCCGCCGCGTGCCGCAAGACTGCGATGGAAGATTGGAGCGCGCAATTTGTGAGGTAAGGAGTCCTTTCATTAGTTGAATTGGCTGGCCGCTCCCTTCAATTCCATGCGATCTTGATTGGCGCCGATATAGGAGGGGAATTTTAATTAATCAAGACTAATAAACATAGAAACAAGAAAATGAAAGCGGAAAAACGATCAAGACCAATAAAAAAAGGCAATCGACGAAAAATATTGCGTCATGTCGATTGGGGGGGAGGCGGGGTGAGTACGGTAGTTGCAGTGACATTTGCCGCATGCCGCAAGGGAGAATGCCGCAATCGGGGAGAAGTTCCGTTACTCCGTAAACCCACATACCCTACCATGTGTATGCGCGGACGAGTTTCAACGGAATTGTAGAGGCTGAACCATTCACAAGGAGCCCAGTTAATAGGCTCTAACAACTTGTCATGACCCATAGCGACAGTGAAAGATAATTCAGACTGTTTTGGCTTGATTTAGTCAAGTCTGTGTCTGCTCGACAGTCAGTCCGCTTGACAACTGTAACAACTGAAATCTTGTCCGAACACCCCTTCCATGTGATTTCCGTCATGGTGATCTCGTACAACCTCTATTTTCACTATTTCCTAGGAGTCCTATTTTTCCCAAAATCAGCGAACTTTTCGTTTCCTTCGCCACCGATGCACTATTCGAAACCATTACTTCGGCTTTCCAACTTAAAAAGCTTACCTCAAATCGATAGTGAACCGTGTCTATAATATGACCTCCGACTATGGAGCTTCGATCAAGGCCACCTATAGCGTAGCGTCACGGAAAAGCATAAACAGGCCCTGTCTTGAGAATTTCAAATACCTTCAGATCGCGCTTGAAGATCGCGCTTTGAAAATCTTGAAAAATTTTGAGAAGCTTTGAAAATAGTACGCTTATACTCCATCCTTATCCCGCTTCCGAGAAATTGACCAGCTTATCACTACAGGTGAAGCCGGGCAGGAGGGAAGGGAGTGGTCAGGAGAATATAACGGCTCAAGCAGTCAAATTCATCAGAATTCCCAGTCTGTTATTCAGAGTAATGCTTTCATCACCTACGCAAGTATGGCTTTTTTCTCTCCAAACGATATTCCGCAGTGCTAGTTTGTTCCTGTTAGTGATAGGTTCAGATGAAATTGTATGGCCTTATTTTAGGTTTTCCGAAAAAATAGTCAGAGCTAAATTCAGGTGAGGCCGAGGCTTTTGTTTTTATCAGTAACGGGCGGTTTAGGTAGTAATGCACAGTGACCCTTGTGCAGCCTAGTTTCTCATGATTCGTTCCCACCGATTATCTTACAGCCTCATATATGAGACCACTTCCACAAATAGATTCGCATCACAGTTCTACTCATAATGAGGCTATTTCTGCCTTACGAACTTGACAATTCTCGATCACGTCTACCAACTTCGATTGCAGTTGTCGCTTTCATAGCGAGCGTTGGTCCGGTATCGTTGGAAATCCACCCGTTGAACCCAAGCGCGCCGGCGCTCACGGGTCGCATTAGCTAACGGTCCTTGCGTTGGAGCATCTGATTTTTCACGCAGAGCTGCTTACAGCTCCTTCATAATGATACTTTCGTCATATTACACCATGGTAGCCAGAAAAAATAGCAAATCCTTACACAAGAAAAAAAAAGAATCACAACGAAGGAATTGTTCACCAACAACCAGTGCAGTATCGATCAACAATCGGCATTGTCAACGCGCTAGCGCGCGCTTAACGCTCAACGCTCTATCTCAATGATGGCAGTGACTGTGAATTTTGAGGTTTCCGGACACCACCATGATAAATGACATTTTTTTTGCTCTGTTCGAAATGTTTCCCATTACAATTCCAATAGTATTGGATTCTTCGCTGTCATAAAATCAAAATGCTTATTACATTTTATCACGAAATGATAACACAACTCTAAAATGGAACAAAGTAAAGTGTAGAAGCATAACAAAATATGTACAGAAAAAGCAGTACTGGCCACTTCAGATTGGAAGTTTGAGGTATTTGAATGGAAGCCATGATTACACAGATTCATAACCTGTGCAGTTCCATCCGCAGAACGTCTACATGGAACAAACCAAATTCTACCAATACCTAATTCTGATGCAGCTAAGCTGACTATCAAAAAAAAAAACAAATAAAAATCCTATATTTGCACTATTTGAAACCAGGCAATTGACGACGAGAGGACATTGAAGTTTTCAAGTTTTGCGAATAAATGAATCAGAATGAAATAGCCATATTCCTCAGAGGTAATAATAGAGATATACGCTCGAATTTGAAACAAACAGGTAAACAAAGATGAGAACATGAAGTGGAGAAAAAGACTTCGAAAAAGAATGAATGCATTAAGCATATGTCTGCTAGGCCTCTATGAATACCACAGCTATCGTGATATCTCTCAGCAAACGCACATATAAAGAAAATCGGAGAGGACAAAGTGCACTGATCCAGACTATAGCCCCTGTCAGTTCTAGTTGAACAGCCCACCGTAATGGCCTAGCGGAGGGACTTGACTTGTTCAAGCGATTCCATTTTGAAAAAACCTTTAACTCAGATGATAGATCTTTGAGGGGCAAGGTAATGAAGAACCCACGAAAAATGTGCGCTTCACGAAGTGGAGGGGTTTTGACTGTCATCTCTCAAATCAAATATTAAGATCTGAGAAGACTTTGCTACTGTATTACACAATGCCACTCAGTGAGCAATGCATCGCGTATGATCTACTTTTAGAATGACCCAAGGAAATATTGGGCTGGAACAAACTAAGACTTTAGCTTTAGCAATCCAACTGGCAACTGAGATGTGAAATAACTGCTGAGCAGCAAATCTATGCATCTAAATCAAAGCGCGATATTGAAAATCTAACTTTGAAGCAATATTGCTTCTGCAAAAGGAGCTGCCATGGGAAGAGTGCTTTCAGTGAGACTCTTTCAATTCATGGACATTACTCAGATGCCATATGAAATACTTCTTCCTCTTCTTCTTCTTCTTCATCTTCCCTTTTCACCACGTCCTTGATATATTGGTTTACATAAAGAAATGAGGGTGGTGCGGGTTGTGCTGCTAGGTAGAGCAGGTGTACTGATACTGGAAGTTTGATGTCATCTCCAAAACGAGCCACAACCACACTCTGAATGAACGGAAAGTACTTGAAGGACCGCTCAGTTGTTGTGATTACTACTCAACGGAACTGCACACTTGGATTTTAATTGGGTTTTTCGTGTACTGCTATAAAATCTGTATGACGAGGAATGGAAAAACTAACCTGATCCAATCTCAAAGAAATACTCTGCTTTGTACTGTCAAAAAGACACGCTCCAGTCCCATCCGAAATGATAACTCTGAAATGAAACGAGTTACTTCTGTAAAAGCAGTTGGATAGTTCACCTTTTCACGTTCTCAAGGGATGGTCAGAAATGACTGCAAGAGAATTGAGCAGCAGTAGGTATGAATAATGATGAGTCAGAAAACAACCCCACAGATTTTGCTCTGATTTCAAGGGATATTCACACAAAACAAACAAAAGGCTGCCGAGTAAATGAGAACTCCTAGCACGAGAAGGCGAAGGGGATTGAGGATGAGACTTCGATGGGATTGTAGACAGTAAGAGAAAGAAACACAAATGAAGCGAAAAACCTTGCACCTTCGTGAATTTTAATTGTCGCTCCAAATAAAAATATACCCTCTAGAGACCTTCAGTATAGGTTCTATTACTCACCGATAGTGAACCATTCGCTCACTCTTCAAATTGATCGAGTATGGTGTTGCTTGGCTCAAACAGTTCCTTTTCATGGTGAGGATTCTAAGTAACAACACGATTATCAAAACATTCAACTCTTGAGACTACAAGTATAGTTAAATTATTGTGATGGTAATATTCATCTGCCGTTCGAGGTTTTCAGGCGGAACTACTGATCAAATCAACGGCCTGAGGTTCCGAAGTAATTGTCGTCGTTGGAAGCCTAATGGCAATATTGTGTTCTTCATACCATACTGATAACTTCTGCACTATTTCCTGTTACATTGAAATTTCCCGTGTCGTTTGGGACCGTGAGCAAATTTATCGCATGAACATTCGTCTAATTTTTAGCTCCTTGTAGAAGGCCTCAAGTACACACCAGAAAAATAGAAAAAAAATATTTCGGTGCTCTAATAGGAGCACAATCCAGATATGGCAACTAGAGGTACTTATAATGACAATCTTTTGTAAAGGCCATGGAATATCAACGTATGAATGAGGTTGAAGCATTTTGGGGGAGAACATTGAGCTCTTACAATTAGACAAAAAGACAAAAGTCTTTGGAAACTTACCCATGGGATGCGTTCATTACTATATCCACGCCGTTATTGAAACCCGTCCATCGCCAGCACTTCTGAATAAAATCTTAGTCAGCCAAACATATTCCTCCACGAGATGTTCACCTATCGAATTTTCTCACAAATTTTATAATGAGATTTAGATTGGATCAAAAATACTCTTTGTAATGTGTCCCTGTAAACATCTGAAGGCACGAAGTCATGAAAAAAAATAGTTAAGATTTGAAAATGTTTCTGTAAGTAACCTACCGGCATGCTATCTATCATTCGCCCGAGACGCAAGGAATTCACGTGAAAATCGTCCATAGTTAACTCGTTCACTCTGAACTGATCGCGAGTAGAGGGAGGTGTAATTAGAATCATAATATTTTGTTAATGTATGATGGGTAATTTCGCTTCACAGGAAGCAGTAAGGAAGTAGGGGATGGGTAGAAGAATTAGTCCGTTGTGTTCTATTTTCACCCCAACTCTACACACAAACCTTCTCCCTATTCAAAAGCTGAATGAGGCGATTATTATTCCTTTGCGGTAAAACCTTGGAATACGCTTGTCCTATCAAATCTATGAAAGGCTTTTCGCTAATTAACAAGTGGAAAGCAGTTGATGAAAGGTGGATGGACCAGAAAACGCACGCTGTTGGGTTTTCTTCATTGGTTAATGTCGTTTTCCACTGATCCACCATCACAGCCCGAAGCACTTCCTTCGGAATCAATCTGTCCTTCTCAACGACACCCAAGCTAGCTGAAAGAATGAAATCTGAACACGAGAAGGGATATATGGCCTAAACACATGAAAGCGACTAACAGAAAACTCACAAAAAATCATGGTTATGTATGTTCAAGAAAATTAAGTATGTTTTGTCAGGATTCTGCGATATTGTGAGGGTAAATAAACAAATAATAAAGCGAGAATCACATGAACCGTTGAATGGCAGACAATTACCTAATGTAGTGGTGATATGGTGAAACCGAAGAGCTGCAAATAAGGCTGCATATCTAACGAATAACTCTCCAGGAGGATAGCTGGCAAGTGTTTCGTTCATAAGACGCGTGAATTCGGCGTCTGGCAACGCGGAGGCATGAGGCTTCTGTTGAAGGAAAATCCACTGAAAAAAGATAAAATTCGATGAACTGATCCCAATTATAAATTATTAAAATAAACTAATTAGAATCTGGATTAGAATAGATAGTCAACTACATCGAAACTGTAGAAACTAGTCAAGTGACTCTTACCATTTTGATGGCTATATAGATGTCCATCTCCCCTTCCATGATAAGAAGCTCAGAGGATGAAATCAAGCGAATAAACGTGTCTTCTCTGAACAAGTGAATAGAGAAAATTTGTAGCAGTATTTTAATATGCAAATACTTCAAGAGTAGGTCACATAACAAATTAAGTAAAATGTTTGGTATCTGAGACCCTGAATAATGAAAGTCGCAAACGCGAAACTGAAACTCAAATATGACCTACTTCAGCTCTTTTAAATGATCCTTTGATTTCATAAATCTCCAAAAGTTCCATTTCAGCAAATGATACGCTTTGTTCGTTACCTAGAGATAGCTTCAGAGTTTTTTTTTTGCGAAAAAATCTTTGTGGAGTACCTGCGGGAGACCATACATCTCTGCCAGATTGAGGTATCGCAACACATTGTTCGGTAGAATATTTTCAGCCATTGCTTCACCACATCGCTCTAACACGCTTTCCTAAAGATTGCAAGCCAAGTTATTCGAAATAAAATTTTACCACAATGTAAAAGCTCTCGAAAGACTGCAGAAAACAAAAAAGTGATTGGGAAGGCCACGAGTTTGTGTTTTTCATCTACGGTACATATAGAAGAAACACGGAATGCTTACTAACCAACTGGAGAACAGAGGCGGCAGATAGGACTCCCTCGACTTTATCTAGGTCGATTTCGATTTGGTTATGATAAAGCGATCCTAGAACTGCGTGGAGCCCTGAACAAAAAACTCAGGGCTGAAAAATTGCCGAGCAAATTGCACGGCAGCATCCTACACAAGAGGAGCACTGAAATTTGCAATAGGTATTTTTTTAACATCTGCTACATCAACTGCTGAAAATCAATATTCGTACGAGCTACAGACTTTTGACTAGCTCCATAAGGAATAATAAAAGCAGAAATGAGATAAGAATTGCTTAAGAACTAGAATTTCAAGGCACTTATTATACCCAAATGTTGTGATTGCTATAGTAACCTGTTGGATATGGGTAAAACAGTGTAGAAAATATGGTCGGTGGCGAATTTGGTATGTATGTAAGCATCAAATCGAAACTCAGTTGAGTTTGTCAAAAACGATTTCAATAATTACATTCTTGTAAGGAAACCCAAAGAATGGAGTAAATTAAAAACTACATTCATTTGAAAAAGTCCGGATTGGAAAGTAAAGGAATAAGTGGTGACCAACCTTCACGAGTTACATTTTCGTCTGGAAAATTGAGATGTAGAACATCTTCCTTCGAATCTTTCCAATTTCCTTGCATCAGAACCTGATAAAACTCGAGACAATTATGGATAGACAGAATTAAAAATTTCATTAGAATAAACGACGTACCTCGAAATACTTACACTGTTTCAAGTATAATTTGTGAAGGTGCCACACGTGGCCAACGGCGTGTACGGTGACGTCAGAGCCTTCTCCCTAAATCTGTTCAATTGAAATCGATCCAAAAAACGCTACTGCGGCCTTGAACAGTTGCAAATTTGGGCGGTGGTTAATCTTGACACCAGAGCGGCCAGAGCATTCAGGCCAGAGCAGAGACAAAGTAGCATACTACCTTGATTTCTTTTTTTTTTTGATAACCATCACAATGATAAAAGGGTGAAAATGTAGTTTGGGGGGGGGG